CTGTCAGCTAAATAAGCCCCTTCTTCTCCTAAGTTACTCATTCTTGGGGTGTTGTATCAAAGAAACAGAAATGAAAGTAGAACAGCTTCCAGAAGCAATAGATACTAAGGACTCAGTGGATGAAATTAAGCATTTCTTGGCAGCCACAGTTCAGCAGAATGGCATCCTGTGCATAACAGGGAGAGACTGCACATACAATGTGGACACACACAGTGACTACGTTTCTTGGCAGCCACAGTTCAGCAGAATGGCATAACAGGGAGAGACTGCACATACAATGTGGACACACACAGTGACTACAGAGATGCTCACCTAGACTGCACATACAATGTGGACACACACAGTGACTACAGAGATGCTCACCTAGACTGCACATACCATGTGGACATGCACAGTAACTACAGAGATGCTCACCTAGACTGCACATACCATGTGGACATGCACAGTGACTACAGAGATGCTCACCTAGACTGCACATACAGTGTGGACATGCACAGTAACTACAGAGATGCTCACCTAGATTAAGGCAGTGCAGAGGATGAGGGCCTTCTGAGGAGCCTCCGAGGCTTGAGGCCCTGAGCAAATAGTACCAAGAAGGGTTATCAGGAAGGTGAGGGACCATGTTCAACAAAAAAGAAATGGGTAGGAAGAGCCAAGGAACACTGACTGAGCCAGGCATAGGTCACCATGGACAGCTGGTGCCACAGACCTGTTTGTGCTGAAGAGTGAGGAGTTTTAAGGTAATGCCCCACCCAAGATAGATGGAGGCAAACAGACAGTATCATAATTAAGGCTACCTCTACAGCCATCTCTCATCCACCCCTAAAGGTCTTAAGCCCCCTCACCTTGTAGAGAAGAGTGAGTAAAATGTTAGCTCCTATCAATTGCCATCTAATCAGCATGCCTACCCAGCATGTGCAGAACATTCACACATTGGTGAGAAGGGAGGAGTCACTACCTTGGTAAGGAGTTGAGGGGCCTGAGATGTGTAGTTCTCTCATGTGACCCAGGGCTGTGTACCCAGAGAGCATCACAGGAGGCTGTGGTTCAGCTCTTCCCTGCTTTTCTGAGGAAAGGCCACAGGGATTCCCTTCTTCAACATCACTGTTTTATAGATGGTGAAAGAGGCCTGGAAGGTGAAGATGATTTGCAAGCCCTATTGTAGGCACTTGAATTATCCATCCTGGTGACAGCTTCCCAAACATTTGGCTAGCCAGGGTCCAGCAGAGGCCCTGTGAGTACTTGCATGGCTGGACTATTGGCCACCTGTCCTAGTTCGCTTTCTATTGCTGTGATTAAACACCATGACCAAAAAGCAACCTGAAGGGAAGAAAAGTTTACTGGCTTGCTCCCCATGGCTTGCTCAGCCTGCTTTCTTATACAGTCCAGGACTACCTGCATAGGGCTGGCACCACCCACAGTGGACTGGACCCTCCTACATTAATCATTAATAAAGAAAATACCCTACAGACATGCCCACAGGCCAATCTGATGAAGGCAATTGAGGTTCCCTCTTCACAAGTGACTCTAGTAGTGTCAAGTTGAAATGGCATAAACTATTACACCACTCATGCCCATCCACTCCAGGATTCTGCCACCCCTTTGTGAAAACTCTTAGCTGTTTCCACCTGTTACCCAAGGCCAACATTACTTTCCTTTAAGCTGTTTGTCCTGCCCCTGTAGTTTGTCATCCCCTGTAATCCTCTGCCCTGCCCTCTCTGTCTTAAGCACAGGATCTAGAGTAGGGCAAATATGAATTCTAGTCTGTGACACGTCACAGAACATGAGGTCAGGAGTTGGTTGGCATAGAACTTTCAACACAAGCAAGTGGATGTGGAACCCTCAACCTGAAGACACCAGGGTCCCCAGAAGAAGAGAGCTGGAAGCCTGACGCCCAGCTGAGTTTTGTGCTGATGGCTAAGTAGCTTAGACTGAGGCAAGCACATGCTCTTAGCTTTGAGATAGGATAGAAGCAAACACCCACAACTAGAAGATTCATTTCACGATATAAAACATAACCCTTACATCAAGCAAATAAATTCATTGCATATACTCATGAATCTACATTGTCCCTTACTGCCTGTAAGAGCACATTCAGAGGGAAGAGAGAGCCCCGTTTCTACCTTTTACTGAAGCCTTGAACATCTTGTGACTATTTTGATCAGCCTTAGGAAGTAGGAAGTTCTATGGTTATATATGCCAACAGATAACATTCAGTATTTAGATCCATACAAAAGGAAGATTCCAAACTTGATTTAAAACACCATCTTTGCACAGGTGGATTCCTGTAGCTGGAGCTTAGATTACAGTGGCTACTTTTGTCTTCAAGGCCACTCTTTTCCAAGTCTAACTGGCTTCTTTGTTGTTAATTATGGTGATAAATTTTACTATGTGACATGCAATTTAATACCTCGGCCTCTTCTACCTGAGCTCCAGTAGCACTGAGTGTATTCAAGTTCTTCTGCTGCCCTGACTGGAGCTGGAGTGATGGGTAGGAAGGAGAGGTAGGTGCAAGCTCGGACCTCTTACTTAACCAAAGGTTTGTAAGATGACTCCTGAGGGCTTTGGTCTGGTTGCGTGGGCTTGTCCATGGGGTTTTCAAACATCCCCTTATACCAATCTCTATAACTTCTTGTCCTCACTTAAGCACTGCCCTAAATTGCATTTCTTACTTCTGGAGCCTGGTGAAATCAGAGGTGAACCCAATAGTTTCTCAGACTATTCCACCTACTACAGGGCCTGTGAGAGCAGTGCAAAACAGGGTAATTCTTGCCAGAGTCTGGAGAGAAGGCTCTGTAGGGGTGACCTCTGAGTGAGGTTTTAAAGCATGACCAGGATTGGGCTGGGGAAATGGCTGAGTTAGTAAAATGTTTAACATATAAGCATGAGGAACTGAGTGTAATCTCCAGCATCCATGGGCATGGCAGAATGTGTTTGGAACCCCAGCTCTAGGAAGGCAAATAGGAAAATGCATTCCTAGCTCACTGGCTAGCTAGCCTAGCCTAATCTTCAAGCCCCAGGCTAGTCTCGAAACACAAGGCAGAGGGCTGCTGCAGAGCAATTCGGGAAGTGGACCTCTGACCTAAACATGCATGCAGAAAAACAATTAGTCAGTCAACTAAAAATAGTGTCCGGGATTTAAATGTGCTCAAATGAAGTCATTCCAGCCAGCAATCATCCGAAGCAATGGGGACAGAGTCTTTTGTGTTTGTGTAAATGAGACAAGTGAAGAGAAAGCCAGGTGGAACCAAAAGCAAACAGAAAAGTCTTAGGTTCCTTCCTGCCAGAGGTGAGAAGTTGGCGGTTGGAGACTACTGAACAGGACAGTGGCAGGGGACCAGGGAGGGCAGTCGTCCGCACTGGAGCGTGTTCTGCATGTCCTTGAATCATTAACTAGGACCCATTAAAATGAAAAACAAACCCATAACCTTCCAGGATCTGCCTTCTTTTCAGGACAACTGCAAAGTAGAACTGAATATCTATAAGGACATCTAGGCCTGATGCCACTTCTCTGTAAGGGACATTAATACCAATGCTGGTTCCAAGACCTGACTCCTTCCTGAAGCCCAGGCTCCAAGGGCTGATGCGGGGATCCCCATCAGGCCTGGGACCACCACCCTCTACAGAGTCACAGTCAAGGGACTTTCATTTCTGAGATGAGCACTGTAGTGTGTTTCACTTCAGACCCCATGCTGAGCCCCACAGAATTCAGATGTGGAGCCAAAGGGGAAACCCAAGAGACAAGAAAAGACAGCAGTGGGGTTGGGTTCAAATCCCAGGACTTCTCCCTTCCCTTTCCCATCTCAAGATCTTTTCACCTTAATCTTTAGAGTGAAAACAAAACTACCTACCTCAAAAGGCCACTGGGGAAGTAGGCTAAAATGACAGAGTTTTGCAGGTATAATTAACAGTGGGCAGGTACCCAGAAACAACCACCCCCCAATGTCTCTCTGTGCCTCCATCTCCTCACCTATTACCTGTGATGGGCATTGAAGAACAGGTTGAGTTAGGTGATGTCCCCAAACTCAGGGCCCCTAGGTGGGGTAGAGGACTTTTAGTCAGAATTCTGAGAATTATTTCTTCTTTTAGTTTTAATAAACACGCACATGTCCACCTACTTGTAGGACACATTGGTGCACACTTAGATGAGCACACGTGTGCCAGTATCACCCCCTCTCAGCCATCCTCAGACTTGGTTTCCCTGTTTGATGATTCATTCCTGCAAGAGCCCACTCGGCGAGGAGGATGGTGCCCAGCAGGGGGCACTCCAAGTGTAACCTCCAGGCCAAGGTTCGGGAGAAAGGCAAAAGGCCAAGGAAATTTCAGTGGAAAAAAATAGAGAAAAGATTCCAGGTTTATGAAAACCAGACTTTGAAAAATAAAACTGCTGATTTGTCTCCCGGGTTACAGAAAAAGAATGCCACAGTCACACCGAGATTTCCAGGAAACTCTTGGGGAAGGCTGGGCCAGGGTGGCAGGGGGCTGGCAGGAAGAACTTGGGGAAGCCCATCTTAGACTCTGATGCCCTAGAAGGGAGAGATGAGGGCAATGATGTGTATGTCGGAGCATGTTTGTGCTCACACTTTTGGACATGAAGGGTTATGTATGTTTATGTGTGCCATGTCTGGACATGTGTTTGTGTGGAACTGTGGGTACAATCCCACAAGTTATTTATTGAATAATTTCTATGTTCTGCTGGGAAAATAATCAAATAAAAAGCATCTTTAAACTCATGTGGCTTAGCAAAGTAGCAGACAATCTCAGTGTGGGTGTCTGGAAGGCAGCTGGAGTGCATTGACCGACCCTGGCTTTGTAATCAGATAACCTGTATTCTAATCCAGCCACCCACTAGCTGCATGACTTGGCAATTTCCTTGACATTCACTCCTTTTAGAGGAGAAATATATGTACTAAAGCCTATCCTGGGGGATAGCATGCATGTGTCAGTTTTCAGTGTGTTATGGTCGGAGGCTCCAAATCAACCCACGCTGACACAAGAGGTTACTAGGCAAGATTTAATTCAGGACAGCACAAAAGAAGGGGAAAGGAGAGGGAGCTGATCAATCAGGGCCACAGGACAGACGCAGGGAGCTGAACTGCAACCCCAAATGCCAGTATTTAAGCCCAAAATTCACAAACATTCGTTGCAAAATTACAGTTACAATTTTCACCAATCAGGATTTAGAAATTGGGACTTCCTTGAATGTTCCATCATTGTCAGCCCCTGTACAATGCAAGCTTTCAGTCCAACCAATCAGATTCATTTGTTCTTTCTGTGGTTAGGAACAGCCATAATGTGTCTAGAGAACTAAAGATGAATAAGAACTATTTCTATGGTTTAGGGAGGAGATGGGTCAGCTAGCTACAGGAAAGTTCTCAGCTCCCCTAGGGCTTGGGAACCTGCACTTTATCTCACCCTGCTGGTAAAATGGTGTCTGAAGTCAAAATGGCAGCACTTTGGCCAAGGTGCTTTTGCCTGCTCCCTTCAGTGATGGCCCCTATCGTGTAACACATCTGGATACGCACAGAGAATGAGCACACCCTGGGTGAAGTGGCATGTTCACACCTTCACTCAGGACATGTTTATGGGATGCCAGGCTAGACCAGAGGTCTCACACAGTAACCCACAGAAAGGAAGTGTGGAGAAGGCGGTTTGTTTTTGTTGTTGTTTGTTTTGTTTTGGCTTTTGCTTTTGCTCATGGTGTATTTTTAAAATCAAGATTATTTCGCAGAAAAATCCAGATTTCCAGTTTCCTTTGGAGCGTACTGCAGACATTAGCATGTGTTTGCCTGCACACCAAGGCTTCTGCTTCTGAATAGATGTGTCCTTCCCAGGGGCACTCTCGATGCTGGCTGGTTTCCAGGGCCCAAAGGGGAGGGGATCCAAAGCAGTTCAGGAGTGCTTGTGAGCAGACATGTTCTCTGGGAAGAAGGAGGATAGGACCAGGATCTCAACAGAGGCCAGAGAGCATCTGCTGCCCACTGTGGGGGTCTATGGCTGTGAGCCGGACACTAGTTACAGAAAGTAGTAACTGAGAATGGAGGGATTTCTGTTGGTAAAACGCTTGCCTTGGTAGCATGAGGTCCTGAGTTTGGACCCTCAGGACCAACATTAAGAGCTGGACACAATAGCAGGCATCTCTAATGCTGCCACCCGGGAATGTCAACAAGTAGATCCCTGGAGTGTGCTGGCCACATAGCCAAATCCATGAGCTCCAGGTTCAGTGAGGGACCTCCTCTCAAAATAAATGAGGCAGAGAGTAATTATGGCCTCACCGAACACCAGCCTCAGGCATCCACAGGCTTTTGTGTTCTCCCACACACATACATGCACATATAAACATATGGATGCATACACACACACAATATTGAAAGAGGTCTGAAATAGAGTAGATGATGGTCTCCCCAGAAACTATTTAGGCCTCTTTTAAAAATTAGTCTGTTAAATACATTTTGGAAGTCCACAAATAAGAAATACAGGAATTATGTTTTGCTAGTGTCACTGGGTCCTCTTAGGATGACAAATCCAACCCTGTCAATAAATATTAATTGAGCCCCACTGCATGCAAGAGGTAGGCTGGGGGTGTACAGGGGTCTTCAGAGACATACCTGTTCTGAAGAAATGGGTCTCCATCTGAGCAGGAATGCACGCATCACAAAAGCATAGGGTATTGCTGAGACATTCTGGGAAAAAAGGCAATGGACCAGACCGTGCGAGCTGGGTTTTCTCTCTGGGCTCCTGTTTCCCCTGTGTAAGGCAAAGAAGTCAGGAAGGCTGAGCACTTTCACAGCCAGACTGACTCCTGGTTTCGGGTTCTTTGAAGAGCAAAGGCCAGGCCGCTGTCCTGATTCTCAGCCTGCATCCTGCTCCCGAGTCTCAGCTTATGCTGGGAATTCATCTAGCTTGAGCTGTGAGAGGAATCCATCAGAGGAAGGTTTGCATGAGCTTCCCTCAGATTAAAAAAAAAAAAAAAAAAAAAAAAAAAAAAAAAAGTGTAAGTCCGTAGTTCAAAAAGCTAGGCCTTTAGAACCTTCCAGCATCTTCTTACCATGTCCTGGTACCACTGCATGTCCAGCATGGAGAGCAAACCCCTAAACAGGTAGGTTGCACCCCTTCCCTGGCCACAAGGTTTGAATAATGAAGAATGTGTTGAGAAACTTCTCCCACTCTTGAGGGGGACACATAGCACAGGGATGAGAGAACTTTCCCCCATTCCTGAAGGGAGAGTTTCTGAGAAACAGCCCTCCTCACACCTGGGTGATTCCTTATAGACCTTCAGCTGTGCGGCCATCTGTGGGGATTTTATTCAGCAGGTTTATTAGAGGCCTGAAGACCCACCTTTAATCTGGGCCACACGTCTAGTGGCAGTCTGTATAAAGGACATGGAAGAATCTCTCTCTCTTCTCTCGCTCATCTCTCACTCGATCACTCCTCTCTCTCCTCTCTCTCTACCTTCTCTCCCCACTCTCTCCCACCACTCTTTCTATCCTCTCTCTCTCCTCTCACCCCTCTCTCTCCCCTCTCTGTCTCCTGTCTCTCCTATCTCACTCCTCTTTCTTCTCTTTCCACTCTCTCTTCTCTCTCCTATCTCTCCTCTCTCCCCATCTGTCTCATCTATCTCATCTCTCTCTCCCCTTTCACTCTCCCCTCTCTCATCCCTCTCTTGTGCCTCTCTCTCCCATTCTCTCTCCCCCTCTTTCTCTTCTCTCTCTTCTCTTTCTCCTGTTTCCCTCCTCTCTCTTCCTTTCTCTCCCCTCTCTCTCCTCTCTCTCTTTCTCTCTCTCTCCCTCCCTCTCTAGCAAGTCCATTCCTTCACTTAATTAGAGCCTATTTCTTTGGGATTCTGGTGTACACTGAAGACAATCTAAGACAACCCAGTCTTGAGGATTTAACAACCACTGGATCTTGGACTTTCCATTGGTAGACAGCCATTGTTGTACTAGCTGGACCACAGCCTGTAAACCATTTTAATAAATCCCCTTTTTCTACATATAGATTCATTCTATCTGTTCTGTTCCTCTAGATTCGTGATCCTCAACCTTCCTCAAGCTGTGACCCTTTAATACAGTTCCTCATGTTGTAGTGACCTCCAACCATAAAATATAGTAATTTTGCTACCATTATTAGTTTTAGTGTAAACATCTATGTTTTCTGATGGTGTCAGGTGACCCTTGCAAAGGGTCATTTGACTCCCAATGGGATCATAGCCCACTGGTTGAGAACCCTGCTCTACAGAACCCTGGTTAATAACCCTGTCTTCTTCCCCCAGGACCACCGGGCTGCATCACTCTCCTACCAGATGCCAACTTAAGTTGATTTAAATCGTTGACCCTTTCTTCTGCACTAGTCAATAGCCAGGAAAGGCACACCTGCAGTTAGTCGGGGGCAGTAATTAGGAGGCCCCTGCTCCCATCCCACCCATGGAGGACAGCCTTGATTTCCACAGCCAATGAATGGGTTGACACTTGGCAAAAATAGACTCAAAACAAGGCCCATGGGCAAAGAGAAGTGGATTAGGTTACAGCCTTCCCCATTGTGGGCATCTCAGGGTTGCCCCTATTTGGCAAGATCTTCTCCTGGACCTTGCCATCTACTCTTGAAAGCCAATGGCCTTGCTATGACATGCACTTTGCCTTCAGAGTGCCCAGTCAGCAGCCATCTGGGGAACGGCAGGGGGCCAGTGATTAGAATGCAGAGAACAGTGTAGTGCTTGGGTATTGTTAAACTCAGAGTCTGTCTCTGTTGCCATAGGGAGAGTCACCAGGCACAGACTCTGCCTTCAACAAACCCAGACTTCTTTTTCTTCTTATGTGTTTTACTAGAACATTGCCTCTAACTTTACAACACCCAAAGGGTGACATCAAAGACAAACTTAATGTTTTCTAATCATGATTACATATCCTTAACTGTTGTTTCCTCAAGTAAAACATTTATCTATTTTTGTCTGTGTATGTGCATGCGTGTGCACACACACACACACACACATGACCACATGTACACACACGCATACACCCCACAATGGCAAACATGAAGATCAGGTTCAGGCTGGTCCTCATTTTCCACCATGTAACTCCCAGCCATGAAACTCAGTTTGTCAGGCTTGGTGGCAAGCCTTCGCCCGTGGAGCCGGCTCACTGGCCCAGAAGTAAACATTTTACCAGCAATCTTGTTAGTATTCACTGAGGGAAGAAGGGTACACAGGTGTCTAAGTCTGGATAAACTGGGAAACACCACTGTTTACTTCTGTAGCAACTCAGTCATGAACTCTAGGACATGTGTGAAGGTGCTTTTTGTCAGGGGAGAAGGGTGGGTGTCTGGGGCAGCAGAGGCAGACCAGTCACACAGAGTCCCTTCCACATCTGACCTGAGAACATTGAATTCTGGGCACTATTTTGATGTGTTGATGAGGGGGGGGGGGTTGAACCAGGATCAAGGTGGGGACAAAGGGACAGGCTCCTGGCTACCTGTCTGCTTAAAGTCTCTCTCCTCCCATCCACTTTGTGTATTTGGGCTCCTTTAGTGTGTGTATGGAAACAAGATCTACAAAGTTTGAAAACTCCAGTATGTTTTGTGATTTCTAAGGTGAACCCAGCTTTTTCTTCTAGTCCACCAACCAGCTCCCAAATCATGGCACAAAGACTTATTACTAGTTTTGAATGCTTGGCCTAGCTTAGGCATGTTTCTGGCTAGTTCTTTTAACTTAAATTACTCTGTTTCTCTTATCAGCCTTTTGCCTTGGGGCTTATCACCTTTCTTCATTCTGTATATCTTACTTTCTGCCCTTCTCTGTGTCTCCTGGCTGGCGTCTGCCTGGCTTCTTGCCCCAGGCATCTCCCTCTTTCTCCTCTTCTGCTCACTCTTCTTAACCTAGAATTCTCCTCCTATTTATTCTCTCTGCCTGGCTGTCCTGCCTACCTTTTCTCCTGCCTAGCTAATTGGCTGTTCAGCTTTTTATTAGATCGATCAGTTGCCTTATGCAGGCAAGGAGAAACATGCAACACATCTTTACATAATTAAACAATGCATCAGAAACAAATGTAACTCACCTTTACACAGTTAAAGTAATATTCCGCAGCATAAATAAGCGTAACACATCTTTGCCTAATTAAAATCTTATTTGGACCTGACCTAGTGAGAGCATGGAGACCTTAGTCATAAAGCTGCGGAAACAGCAGGGGACCAAACCAAACCCTCTGAACGTGGGTGCCAGCTAGGAGGCCAAGACAGTCTATGGGACCTCTAACAGTGGAGCCAGTCTTCAACCCTAGAGCACAAATGGACTTTGGGAGCCCATTCCCTATGGAGGGATACTGTTGCAGCCCAGATACAGCAAGGAGGGCCTAGGCCTCCCCCAAACGATATGACAGACTTTGAAGGTCCCTGGTGGAGGGCCTCACTATCCCTGGAGAGGAGTTGGGGGGTGGGTTGGGGGGGTTGGTGGGGAATATGGGAAGATGGGAGGGTGAGGGAATGGAGGATGGATATGTAAATATGAGTAGTAATTAACGAATTTAAATTTTTTAAAAAAAATTAAAATATTCTACATTTTAAGGCCATCTTCTGCCTTAAAAAATAAATAATTCTAGCTGGGCGTCAGTGGCGCAAGCCTTTAATCCAAGCACTCGGGAGGCAGAGGCAGGGGGATCTCTGTGAGTTTGAATCCAGCCTGGTCTACAAAGCGAGTGCCAGGATAGGCTCCAAAGCAATACAGAAAAACCCTGTCTCAAAAAAACAAATAATAATAATAATAATTGGAAGGGAAAGGCAGGCAGATCTCTGTGAGTTCAGGGCCAGCCTGGTCTACAGAGTGAGTTCCAAGACAGCCAGGCCACACAGAGAAACCCTGTCTCGAGAAAAAAAAAAATCTATAAACTAGAATTGGAAAGATAGTTCAGTCAGTGAAGTACTTACCATACATACTTGAGCATCTAAGTCCAACCACCTGAAGCCACATCAAAAACACTCAGCCTGGTGCTATGCACTTGTATTTCCGAGCTGAAATAGGAGAGAAGCAAATCCCTGGAGCTTGCTCACAGCCAGCCTATCTTAATCTTCCAGCCCCAGGTTCCACTCTATAAAACAAGATGGACAACTCCTGGAGAATGAAACCCAAAACTGACCTCTGAACTCTACCCACACATGCACCTGCACACACATCACACACAGAGAGCTATTACATCTACATTGCAACTCTGACGTTCATTTCATTCATGCCTCCCTTCCCAGAAAACAACCACTGTGTGACTGAAAAATATAAAACAAAACAGAAGACTCCTTGATTTCCGGCTCACTGTACAGATCTGAGCGAGGGAGGGGATGACCACACAGTGCTTTTTATCCCAGCCCTCATCAGCTAGGACCTTCTCAGTTTTCAACAGTTTCCCACTCTGAACCCTAGGATTAGGCCATAAATCTTACTCTAACAGGCCAGACACTTGGAAGCATATTCTAGTGTATTCATCTGTGCCCTGTACTCTTCACTGCACAGTGACACATACCCTGTTAGTTACCCAGAATTCCCCTTGCCCTTCAGGCCTGAACTGCTTCACAGGTGTCCCCAACTACAAAGGCTGTGGAGCCAGTCCCCTTCCGTGCCAAAGGTCTGACTACTGGGGAACTGAGACAGTCTGAAACCCCTGTGGTGAGTGCCTCTGAGATCCAAAGGACCAGGTGTGGGTGAGAAGGAAAAGGGTGGAGAAACACATAATCACTGCTTTTCTGTGTAACCATGGATAACCTGGGACTTCCAATCCCCTTCACCCATCTTCAGGGTGCTAGGATTACAGGTGTTTGCCTCCAAGCCCAGTTTCCCGTGGTGCTGGGGAGTGAACCCAGAGCCTCATGCCTACTCAGCTCACCCTATCAGCTAAGCCACACCCCTCAACCTGAGTCTGCTTCCTTAGTCCCCCATCACAACCCCAGCCATAGACCACCAGATCAGAGACCTTGGCCAGGGAGATGATTCCTCTTTTGAAATTTCTTAGAAAAATAAAGCAAGTGCCCTGGGTATAGGTGGTTGGTCTCCAAAAGGTTTATTTCATTTCTGAAACAGAAGCATCTCCAGATTTGGCTTTTAATTTCTGCTCCCTGGCTGCTCCCTGGGCACTTAGTGGTCCTCCGGTGGTGCCCCCTCTATTTCAAGAGCCCCCAAAATTAAGCGGGGTGACTACAGATGAGTTTTTGGTACTTTCCAAAATTAAACTATTTCCCTTGGTAAATTTCCAGCAAATGAACTCACTGATCTGAAAACAGGATGTGGCACACGAAGTGTGAGGTCAGGACGCCTGCTCTTTTCTCTTTACCCTGGGGCAGAGAGGAAGAGGGGGTGGGACAGAGGTGGGACTAGAGAGTGGCTCTTACAGAGCCAAGGGCCTTGAGAAATGTCACTTCACCAAGTGCACTTTTAATATCAGGAGCACAAGGAACTCGAGAATCCTTGACTATTAGAATTGAAAGGCCCAAGCTAGGCTGAGTGGCATATGCCTGTGAAACCCAGGCCTAGGCCAGAGGATCACCAATTCTAAACTAGCCTGGACTATATGTCAAGACCCTGTCAAAAAACAAAAGTATTAAAAGCAGAAGAATGGAAAACCTCAGAGAGTGCCTCACACCATGCTTACACAGATCACAGAGATTGTGTTTTGGGGGGGTTCCTGAAACACAGTACTTGTCTTCATGCAGGTGTTCCCCCTTCCAAGTTGAACCCCAAAGGTCTTTATTTCCCTAGCCAGCTAGATGCCCAGCCCAGTCCTACAGTATTACCAGACTGCTAGAAACCCGCAGCCAGAGAGGCCTGCCTTCAGTTGAGACAAACACACCTCCATGTCCAAAACAAAACCCAGCAGCGTGTGCCTATAATACATTAGCACTGGGGATGCTAGGGCAGGAAGATGACTTAAAGTTTGGAGTCAGCAAGGCTACACAGCAAGTCCTTGTCTCGAATAAATAAATAATAAATAAACAAACAAACAAATAAATGAACAAGTCGATCCAGTTAGAAGTCAAGTTAAAGTTTTGAGCAGCCCAACCAAATTAGTCAGGTGGAGACCCACTAGCCATCAGGACAGGGGGCCATTAGACATTTGCATGCAGAAGGCATCCTTGTGAGATTGCTGGCTGGAAAAAATACAAGTTGAGTTTTTTGTTTGGTTGATTTGGTTTTATCTTTTAAACTAAACTTGTATCCTGACACTGCTAGGTTCCAGGGTTGCACAAAATAATGGGGAACAGACCACCAAAGTCTAGGAACCAGAAACAAACTATTCCAAAGATTTCTGGGCACAAAAAGCTTCCAGTGCACTGGAGCCACAGGTCAGAGTTTGGGCTTCTGACACTGTGCCAATGGAAGCAAGTTTTGAGCTTCTTAAAGTAAAAACATCTACCAGGTGTGAGTCAAAGAGCTTTTACAACCTTGAGGTCAGGCTTAAAGTCAAGGTTCAGACTTGCTGCTTTTCCTCTCCTGCCTGGCAGGATTTCAGACTGGAGCTCAAAGCTGTGTGTGTGCCCCTGCATTTGCTATACTGAGTACCTCACATGTACAGTCACTGCAGGACTGCAAGTCAGCTAGCACCCGCGACCCCAAACAGATACAATCTGGGTCTCAGTTTCCTCTTGGGAGGAGCGCTCGTCCAGCCCCCGGCCAGCCTCGGGAAACAGCCCAGCCCAGCCCCACCCGCTCGCCCAGACACTGCTTTCCTCGGCTTCTGTCTGCTAGCGGGTTTCTCAGCACCGAGAACGCTCCCAGCACGGGTGAGAGAGAAGGCAAGGCGCGCAGGTTGGTAACTTGGCACCGACAGATCCCCAAATGCGAGCATCGGACAGGTTCGCGCTGCAAAATCCTCCAGGGTCCTAGGCCCCTTGCACTCCCCAAGAGGTGCCCTGGTCCCGAAACTATCACCCAAGCTCTGCTCTCAGCTCTGATCTCGTCCTGACGTGACTTGGCAGGTCGACAGTTACCTGCCCAAGGAAAGAGGGTCAGGAGAGCAGGGGGCCTCAGGCAGGAGCCCGACGGCATGCCCAGGCTAAGGGCAGTAGGTGCGCCATGGGATCTCAATCTGGGCACTGTCACTGAGATGTTCCAGGGGAAGTGGGTGTGGCCCAGGTGTGTTCACCCCTCCCCCGCCCAAGACCAAGAGGCTGACACAACTGCTACTCCTGAGCATAGAGATTCCCTGTACTGGAAGCAGAGGAAACGGGACCAAAAAGGGTGGAGGTGGGAAAGAGACCCATGAAGAACCACCGTGGGAGGCTGACACAACTGCTACTCCTGAGCATAGAGATTCCCTGTACTGGGAGCAGAGGAAATGGGACCAAAAAGGGTGGAGGTGGGAAAGAGACCCATGAAGAACCACCGTGGTGCAAGAATCAACTCTGAAGAGTTCCTGACTGAGAGAAGGAAGGTGCTGGCATGAATGAAGGGCCAAGAGCCCTCTGGCCCACTTCCAATAGGACAGGACAGCAACTAAGGCAGGCCCAGAGCATTTGACAGCATGGGAGCCTATAACGTGGTTAAGTAGGTCCCCTGGAGTTTCAGCAGCTGTGTGAACAGTCCTCTAAAAATTTCACCGCGTAGTGAAGAGAGAGTAGATATGGAAGAGGAATTTGGGATAAGGGCCAAGTTCATTTAAAAAGCAGGTCTGTCCTTCCTGGCTCACTAGCTGTGAGGTCTTAAGCAAGGCACTTATCTGTGCCTTGGGTCCCTCTGCTATAAAGTAGGGACCTCCAAAGATTGAAGGGAAATGTTGATGAGATGTGTGTAAAAGTACTTAAAACAAGGCTGGAGATGTGACTCAGTAGGCAAGAACTCGTGCCAGGCCTTGGGTTTTGTCCCAGTACAAAGAAAAACAAACTACTTAACACACAGCACTGAACAGTAGTGCCTGTTATCTTACTCTATAGTCCTACAGGGATATGTTGATGCTAGTGGAAAGGGGCTGTAGATGGGGAATCAGCGAAGGGGCGGGGCACAACAGAAGAAGGGGACACGCAGAGGTGCAGGAGGGGCTGAGCCGTTAAGGGAATGCCTTTCTGAGAGTGGGGAAATAGACTCAAGGTCATTAGCAGAGCAGGTTGGGCAGAGCTCAGTTGAGAACAGAAGCCCAGTGTCAACAGCCACCAGATGTTCTGGTATCATCCTGAGGGTGGTGGACAGTTGAGTTTATCTGGAGCAGTGGTTTTCAACCTATGGGTCATGACCCCTTTGGGCGTTGAATATCAGATATCTTGCATATCAAATATCTACATTTTGATTCATAACAGTAGCAAAATTACAGTTATAAAGTAGCAACGAAAATAATTTTATGGTTGAGGGTTACCACAATATGAGGAACTGTATTAAAGCAGTAGGAAGGGTGAGAGCCACTGATCACAGAGTATAAACTTCCCTTCCCACTTGGGAGGCTCAAGGAAGCTGAGAGACGCAAAAACACCATGTAAGTGTAATTTGACATTTTAAACCCCTTTCCTGTTGGGCATGGTCATCACCTGAGTAAAGTATCAAAAGTTTTTGGAGCATGTCACACTTTCACCTACTTGATGGTTAGCTATAATTGTCAACTTGACAAGGCCTGGGAAGAGTCTCGTCAGAGATTGTCTACATTGGGTTGGCCTGTAGGCGTGCAGTGGGAGAGTGTGGGTTGCACCATTCCCTACGCAGGGGGACCCTGAACTCTATAAGAGTAGAGAAACTGAGCCGAGTGCCAGCAAAAGCACAGCATCCGTGCATTTGTCTCCCTTGGTGTCTGACTGTGGATGTGATTTGACTAGCTGTTTCAAGTCTTGCCTCCTAATGATGGACTTTAACCTCATGACGCTTTTTGCCAGGATATTTTATCACAGCAAGAGAAATGAAACTAGAACACCCATCATCTCATTTGACTATCTTGGCAATTGGGTAAAATACATGTTTTTATCCCCCATTTTACAGAAACAGAGCTGACCATACGGTGAGTCGGCATAGTGGTGCATGCTGGCACACGGTGTCGCACGCCTTTAATCCCAGCACTTGGGAGGCAGAGGCAGGCGGATCTCTGTGAGTTTAAGGGTAACCTGGTCTACAGAGCGAGTTCTAAGCCAGCCAGGCTTGCATAGTGAGACCCTGTCTCAAAATAAATAAACATTAAAAGACCACATGGCAGATCTAGGATCCCATTTCAGATTTGCCTGAGCTCAGGACCCGTGGTTTGAAAGCAGTATGTACGTCTCTATCTACAAACCCTATAGCATTACAGTTGGGTGGAAAGGTATTCAGAGGCCATCTTTGTCATTTGACAGTCTGAGACAAGCTGGATGCTCTGACTAACATCCCAGGCTCTGAGACTTTACCATACTGCCTTCCTTATTCTTACCTTGTCCATGGTGGAACAACACAGAACCTGGTTCCAATCCCACTGCTCAATCTCAGGCTGTGTGTCTTTGAGCCTTATGCCTTGCTTCATTGAACTGTACATGGCTGCAGAAGGATTGTAAGGATCAGAGGAAAACTCTGCCCAGCACACAATGTCTGCATGCCTTGCTTCATTGTACATGGCTGCAGAAGGATTGTAAGGATCAGAGGAAAACTCTGCCCAGCACACAATGTCTGACCAGAGTTCTGTTTTTTCATGCTTATCCTTCATGCGCACATGGAGCTACAGTCTGCTTGGTGACCGAGAGCAAATCCCTTTGAGCCTGGACTTCTTTAGTGCTTTGTTCTCAACAGGGACATAGTGGCTCCTGACCAGATACACAACCACCTATGACTTCCTGAGTGGGGCTTAGGAAGAGGGTTCTGCAGCGTCTGTGATGCTAAGGCCTTGGACTTCAAGGCAGGGGTAGGCCCTGTCCATCTGTCACCATCATGACTGATACACAATGCACAGGCAGGGTGGGGCCATCAGAAACCTTCCTGCTGCCTTCTGGTTGCCTCAGTCATAGGGTCCCCAGTCATAAGCCCTAGAGATGACTCGTTGCAATTCGTTTTTTTTTCAAGATAGGGTAACTGAGTGACAGTATAAGAAAGAGGTATTTACCCAAGGCCCCCAAATACCCTGGAGGTCCCAGAACTTGAACTTTGAACCTGCTTTCAGAACCCTTGCGGTTTCCATCAGAAAGCTAAGTCCCACACTGTTACAGAGAATTCTACATGGCTCAGAGATGGAGGGGGGTGGCAAGACAAGTGACCAACCATGGCCTCTCCACTAAGGTGCCCTGGGTAGGAGATAGAGGAAGCCAACAGCAGCCTGTGGTTCTCAGGGAGGGGAACCGTGACTCCGAAGAGCCGTAGCATTGCTCTCTTCCTATGACTGTCTCCTGCTCTTTCTCACTTTGAAAAATGTCTGGACACTCCTAAAAGTTTTCAGTCTCTGTCCAGGGGCTTTTTCTAACCACAAAGGGTAATTCCTACCCCATCCCTGCTGTGACTCAGATGTGACGTCTACTGCACAGCCAGAGAGGAGAAGATAAAGTCACAGAAAGGTCACCTCTCTCTACAGACTCCACAAGGCTTGTCCTCTGCTCTACTTACAGACCTTCTCTGGCCACCTGAAACTTCAAGATGGCCTCCAGCTCGGCCAGTGGCCCCCGTCCAGCTCCTGATGAAAATGAGTTTCCATTTGGTTGCCCCCCTGCTGCCTGCCAGGACCCATCAGAGCCCAGGACTCTCTGCTGCTCAGCCTGTCTCTCTGAGAAGCTGAGGTGAGGGGGCCAAAGAGCCAAGGGCCAGTGGGAAGGATTGCTAGGGAGGGACCCCTGATGGGAGGGGGGCTGGAAAGATAGCTGACTATTAGCAGGGAAGTTCTATTTCCACTCTTTTCTTCCGGACACCGCCCCCTGGCTGGGGGGCAGATGGGTCTGTCTGCCCATCATTATTAAGGTAGAACTTTAAGCATCACTCAGCCACTTACTGCTGTGTGGCCTGGTTTCAACCTCGGGTGTCTTGGAGCCCCAACTTCTTGCCTGTGGAGTTGCCTTCTGCCTCACAGACTTGTTACAAGGCTCCATCAGTAATATTCCCCAAACTTCTTACAATAGTGAATGTAGCCCCATTGGCAAATACCAAACTGTGATAAGACATTATTTTGTTTTATTAAACCCAGTTAATTGGGGCAAAGAAGCAGTAGGGTGTGTATTTACACTTAAAGGGTAAACATCTGAGATTCACTGCATCAATTGCAGCTTAACACCCCACCCTAAGCCATTGCTGTGCACCTGCTGTGGGCAAGCACTCCATCCCTGTGTGCTCAGATTGGTCTGCAGAGGTCAGTACAATTACCACCCTATTGTATAGATGAGTACTGCAAAGCCCCCGAGACAAGTCGCTTGCCTCCTGTGAGTTTCCTGTTGAAGACACTCATAAACCGCCTTGGGCCATAGGCATGACCTTTTCTTTGGGACCTTGTAGCTTAAGACTGTGGGGAAACTGAATCAGTCAAATGAGAAGTTCAAATTTGGTGAATAAGTGGTAGGCTGCAGGAACAGGGCGGGAGATTGTAGCAGTGGAAAGGCCGGGTTCGGGTGGAGGCTGCAACTGACTAGGCTTCCCAGCCAGCTAATGCTCTGAGCCCATGCACCGCCCCCCAAACCTGGCAGAGGAGGGAGCAGAAGCTGATTGGAGAGTGCAGGGTCCCCACCTCAGGTGCCTCGATCCCCAGGGCCCATCCCAGGACCCATTCTCTGAGGTCTCATTTTCCTCACCTAGAAACGGGCTGAGTCAGCAGCACTCCCTGTGAGGCAGAACTACTTACACAGGTGTCCGGACAGTGGGGGTCCAGTTCTGACACCGGTTCCAAGTAGACAGACCCTGGGTCCTCTTCCTGTTCTAAAAGGCCAAGATCACCTGCCAAAGCCAAAAATAAGAGGCCAGAACTGCATAATTGGTACTGAGAAGAACAGATGGGAGTTCCATGCCCATAATCCCTTGCCTAAACCCTTGAGACTAAAGTGTTAGGATTCAGAACTTCTGCAAGTCAGTGTATGGGATGATTCTTCCAGCAGACTCTGTAACCAGGCACTTGGATGGGCATTTCTACAGTGAGACATTCATAATCACACTACATGGGTGAGGAAAGGCACCAGGAGGTCAAGGCAGGCAGGGCTGCTGAAGCAACTTGCTGCTAGCTCCAGAAAGCAGTGGAAGCCTGTGGTTCTGAAGCTTTGACAAGGGGGCTTCAGGATCATGGAATTACTGCTAGAGGCAAGGTCTGGGCTTTGACATCTATCAAGAAAATGGCAGGTGGTGGATGGCAGGTGCCAGCAAGGTGCAGTACCTTCCTTATTTGAGAATCTTGTTCATGTTTCCTCAGAGATGGTGAGGATCGGATCTGTTCCAAGTGCAGAGCAGACAGCCTCCAACCTGTGAGCCCAGGAAGCCTTCTGACTCAGGAGAAGGTATGTTAGCATAGACAGGAAAGACGATCTGGCCATCTTTGGGGACTGATGAGACGCCTCAGTCTGTGAGGACCTGAGTTTGGTCACTAGAACCCATGTAATAAATGCTGTATATGATGACACCTGCAATACCAGTGCTGGAGAGGAAACACATGAACCCCTGGGGCTCATTGGCCAGCTAACCTAGCCTACATAGTGAGTTCCTGGCAAACCAGAGACCTTGTCTCCAAAAGAAATTTGGTAGATGGCAGGTACCAGTGAAACTACTCCTGAGGTTGTCCTTTGGCCTCCACAGAAAGCAGGAAGGAGGGAGAGAGAGAGAGAGGGAGAGGGAGAGAGAGAGAGACTTGTCCAGGTAGAGGCAAAGTGGGCAGTTGCCCATGTGGCCCCTGATGTGCAGGTGTATCTTTGCTTTGTCGTGAGCCTGCAGTGAATTCACTTCCAGCAAGGCAGAGATGCACAGGTGTTCACAGTGATGGCAGCACAGGTGTTCACAGTGATGGCAGCACATTTCCCTAAGCCATCTGGCAGCCTCTGATCCATTTAGAATTGGAATCACCTTCTAGACAGGGGTCCACAAACTGGAACTGGACCAAAGCCAGCCCATATCCTGGTTTTATATACAGCCCACAGGATAAGAATGGTTTCTATGTTTTTAATTGATGGAAGAAATTGTATTTAGGAACTCATAAAGACTCTGTAACATGCAAACTCTATGTCCATAAATAAAATTTTGCTAGTATCTAGCTACCCTCACTCTCACATATTACCTGTGGCTGCTTTCTCCCTACAGTGGCAGAGTTGAGCACTCAAAACAGAAATTTTGTTTTCAATCTGGATCTGTCTTTTACTGAGTATCTGTATTGTGTTATATTAGTCCTCAGCATAGTTCAGCTTAGCATGTGGCATTGGCAGCCCCCCTTGGTTCTCTGAGAGATTAGTTTCATGGTGGAGGTGCCATTTTTATTGCCCCAGCTCTGAAAGTTGTTGGATCCATGCTGCCACCAAGTAATGTGGTGCCCACTGGTGGTAAAGTCCTCTTAAGTGTTTGGTAACAGGACATCTTTTTTTTAAGATTTTTTTATTATATTATATATATACATTCTGCTTCCATGTATATCTGCACACCAGAAGAGGGCATTAAGATTTTTTTATTATATTATATATATATACATTCTGCTTCCATGTATATCTGCACACCAGAAGAGGGCACCAGATCTCATAACGGATGGGTTTGGAGCCACCATGTGGTTGCTGGGAATTGAACTCAGGACCTCTGGAAGAGCAGTCAGTGCTCTTAACCTCTGAGCCATCTCTCCAGCCCCTCAAAACAGAAATTTTAAGACCCCAAAATATACTCTCCAGCAGCTTACTTGAGAAATTCAGCCAGCTCCTGATCAAGAGAGAGGCTATTTTCAGCTCACCTCTTGTGTGAGCCAAGCTGTGTGTCCAGGATGTTTGGAAGGGGCCAGAGAGACATGCTTATGCAACAGCCTTGACATCTGGTCCATCCCTCCCCACCAAGATGAAAGGTTGGGAGGGTACCTGTGTAGCTCCCACCAGCTCATGACGAAATGATAAAACTATAGAAACATATTCAGTGTTACAAGCTAACTTGTCTCCATTTAGAGAGTCAACCTTTATTCTGCAAGGTTGTGTCATCCTTTATATCTTTGTGAAGTGGCATAAAAGTAAATAATAATTTGGGGTAAACCTTTTTACCAGATACAGAACAAAGACAGCAATCTTTATGTTAATCTCACAATTAAGATCCCACACAAAACCTGTGTGGGTCCAAAAGTCCAACCATATAGGAGTCACTATGTGAACCTGACCTCTGGGATGACAGGTGAGGAAGACACATGGGGATCTCTGCTTGGTCATCCTCTCTGTCCCCAAAGTGAGACAATTGAAGCTGCTTTCAGTCAAAGCTCCCTCCAGCAGTGAACAGTGACCCATGGATCCAGACCTTTGTATGCAGACATGGGTTTATGTCCCTCAGTCCCGAATGGCTGGAGGCAAATCTGTTTCCACGCCATTTCTCCCTTGGTAAAATGAAGACACTAAGTTGGCTCTATAACGTTCTCCCCCCCCCCCTTTGCACCAGTCCCTGTCATTCAGAGAGTGTGGGGATTTCCTGCCCTGCCCAGAGCTGATTGAAGAGCCTTCCCTTCCATCTTACAGCAACCTCCCCTCCTGTGTGTCCTTAGAGAATAATAATGAGGATCAAGTTAATTTCCCTGGAAGAACTGCTGAGCCTCCCTGTCTGGCTGTCTCTGGACCAGCTTCCACATGGGAACAGACAGACACCTTACTGTGTGGCCTCTGTGCCTTACATGTGCGGCACAGGAAATGAGCTCTGTGCTTTCCAAGCCTCGTTTTGTTCTTTCCTCTTAGCAAAATTAAAACATGCCACTTATATAAATGTTAGGTAATATGGGTCAGATATACTTCAATGTCACTTAATCTAGCATCTTTAGTTTTTTTCATCTTCATCAAGATAAAACCAAATACAAACAGAAGGCTTGGGTGGAAGGAGTGCCTGGAGCCGAGTGAGTGACTTGTATAGTAGTAAGGCCTTTATTTCTAGCTTTAAGTGACATGTGTAGTAAGGCCTTCGTGTCTGACTTTGAGAGAAATGTTTCAGCAAAGCCTTTGCTATGTTTGGGTTAATCAGTCAAGGCTGAGAAACTGTTTTGAGACTATTTAAACCTTGAAGAGTTGTTTCTCTGGAGTGTCTGCACTGGTGTTACATGAGAGCTTGCAGCTGCACCAACCCTGATCCTAGGATGCTCCTGGCAGACCTGAGTTGTTACTTTTGATTATCACTGCCATAGTCAAAAGGGACTTGGATTTGTGTGGGTTGTCCTCAGCATAGCAAGATGACTTTGGTAGTTGGAACCTTGTCTAGCCCCTATTAACCTTGTATGTTTGAATAAAGTAACTAAAGTGAGCTAGCTGGATGTCAGTCTTTTCCAAGAGGTTGAACCCCTCTGCTCCTTTGGAAAGTAAAGACAGTATCTTGGAGAGCTTCTCTCTTTACTGTGGCATCTACGACCCAACATCAAACAATATTATCCCATTTTTTTCTCCTGTCTCAGCTTCTAGGTACTTCCAGGGCTCAGCAAGAGCACAAGTTGAAATTTCCTGCCTTAAGACAAACAAAATAAGGGGCTGCAAAGGTGGCTCAATGGTTAAGCACATTGCCTGCATGGGCCACCGGGTAGTTACACAGGGACTTCTCTGATCCTGCCCCTGATGGGAACTTTAGGGGACTTTTAACCTAAGGAAAGTGACTAAGCCAGGCCTTTGCATGTGATAACTCCCAACTTTTTGTCTGCATGTCAGACAGCACCTAGGAGACAAAATCTGGGCATGGAGGCCAAGCTGGAGAGCAGCTGACTTCAGCCCCAGGTGCCCATCCCACAAACTCTCCCCATGCCAGCTTCTATCAGTCTGTACTCCCCTGAGTCTGTAAAAGATCACCATCTCCTTATGTAGGGCCCAGAAGCATCAGCTAGTTACCAACATAGCAAGCAAATATTAGAAGATCAATGATAACAGAGAGGCCATTCTTCCCTGGAATGACCTTCCTGGACAATCAACAGTAGGGTAGGAGACAAACCAGGAGCTGGTAGCTGGAGAAGGGCTGGGAAGATAAGAGTTTCTGCTTTGTAAGCATGAGGACCCATGTTCAAATTCCAGAACCCCTGTTAAAAAGGGGGAAACTGGGCTTGGCCATGCATACTTACTTGTCACACCAACAATGTGAGGCGTGGAGACAGAAGGATCGCTGGAGCTTGTTGTCCACCAGCCTAGCTCTAGGTTCAGTAAGAGACCCTGTCTCAAGGGACAGAGTCTCAAGGTGGAGAGCGATAATATGGGGTATCTGATGTCCTCTTCTGCTCTCCCAGAAGGAAACTGTTTCTCTCACATTCTTCCCTCTGAGGTTCATGGCTCATGATAATGTCATGACCTTTTCTTTTTTTCTTTTGTTTTGTTTTGTTTTTCGAGACAGGGTTTCTCTGTGTAGCTTTGGAGCCTATCCTGGCACTCACTCTGGAGACCAGGCTGGCCTCAAACTCACAGAGATCCACCTGCCTCTGCCTCCCGGCTGTCATGACCTTTTCTAGAACCCCAAATGACAGGAGTTTAAGCTGTCTAGTCTAACTTCCAGCATGTACATTTAGTGGGCTCCTGCAGTTTGGGGTTATGTCTTTTCAAAACAGGGAACCCACATGCTGGAGGGAGGGGAGGTTCTGACTGCTCCTGTGACTTCTTTTGTCATTTGTACTGAGCTGAAACCGACTTCCTTCAAGGAATGCCGGTCAGTCTTCTGTTCCCAGGGTCCCAGTGTGTGGGAAAACACTAACCATGTCCCTGCTGCATCTCTCCCCAGTGTGTCTGTGCTCTCTGAAGTGTGTTAACCAGTGTGACTCCCCACCCTCACACTCCTAAATATGACACGTGCTCTCTGAAGTGTGTTAACCAGTGTGACTCCCCACCCTCACACTCCTAAATGTGAAAGTTTTCGTCTATAATCTTAGCACTCCAGCGGCACCCTGTTAGTACCCTTGATTTATTAATAGGTAATATATGAAGGCCCAGAGCAAAGGAGATGCTGGTTCCTGAACTTAAATCATATGGCAAAGCCAGACTACAACCTCATGCTCCAGACTGGTGGCATTTTCTCCATTTCAACTTCGAGTGGAAAATTGGCCCCCAAATGCTTTGTACATGACATATGAACCTGGCAGGAGCAGTCATGAATGACAAAGCCTAAAAGACTCTGTAGGCATGAAGGCAAGGTAGGGTGAGAACCCTGGACTGCTTGGGTGAGCACAGTATAACCACAGGGTCCTCATGAGAAGACAAGCATCCATGGGCAATGGGAAGGGGATGTTGACTTTGACGATGGAGAGAGGACCCTCAAGCCAGGGGCTGCATTCCAGAGGAATATGTTGCTGCCAGTACCCTCGTAGTAGGTCTTCTAGCCTTCAGAAGTGTGAGATTGTAAGCTTGTATTTCGTTAAACCATTTAGTATTGTCACAGCTACAAGAGGTAACAATATGAGCACTTACATATATTACCTCATTATCTTATAATAGTCATAAGATGGGTTAGTGTTATTTATTTCACAGTTGGGGAAACTAAACCTGGAGAACTTAGTAACTCTCCCATCCCATGACGAGGTAATGTGGCAGCAACAGAATATATATATATATATATCCTCTTGGAGCCCACACCCCAAGTACACAGTAAAGAGTGGGTGACAGGTGATCAGAGCTGACAGCCTGGCTAACCCTAGGGCTTCAGAAGACCTCTTGAGTTACCCCTGCCCATCTGTCAGCATTCGAGGGTAGTCACAGTAAACTGCCGTGCATGCCTCATCGTTAGGACAAGCCAGACATTCATGCAGTGCGTAGGCATTGCTTGCCCATGGTACATCCCAATGTGTGGGCAATGCCAGAATTCTAGTGTTAGCTGCCCCACTTCCTTTTCCTTATGCCTCTGGGGACTGTAACTTCAAGCCACAAAGGATGGGAACCATGAACATAGAATCATGGGGCCCTAGGGCATCCTAGGTCAGAAATACATGGCATCTGGTGTCCCTGAGACAATAGTGACCTGTAGGAGAGGATGTATTGAGGCAGATTCCCAAAGCCAGTGTGTCTCCCTGTCAGGACTACCCTCTGCCTGTCCGCATTAAACATCAGTTTCCTATTCTTGGTTGGGAACAGCCTGTGTCTGTAGCAGAGGGCAGTAGGGCAGGTGGGTGAGCCTTTGCTAGGCTAGGCTCTTCGTCCCAAACCAACTGTGTGAATCAGCTTTGAGAAAAACAAACCCTGTGACTTTGTCCCTGCTCAACCCTGAAGCCCTCTGGCCTCCCCTCATCTCGTCCTAAGCCCCTTTGATTATTCTGTCAAAAAAAAAA